GCCACTCCGCCCAGCGCCGCCCTGCATTGGACGCCGCGATACGGCGCCGCCCCCTGAATAAGCAGAGACGGAGTCCGAGAGGGGCCGCGCTAGGCCGGGCCTTTATTGCTGCGCGCGCGGTGGGAGCGGGTCGGTGCCGGTGCCGGTGCCGGTGCCGGTGCCGGTGCCGGTGCCGGTGCCGGTGCCGGTGCCGGTGCCGTCAGGGCGCCAGCAGGGCCCGCAGCAGCAGCGGGAAGTTGGGGGTGCCCCAGCCCGTGACCGGGTCCCAGGCGGGGCCGGCGCAGAAGCCCTGTCCTTGCACGGTGCCGTCGAGGCAGGAGAGGTGGCAGCCCTGCGTCACCTGCACGGGGGCTCAGCGCCCCGGCCSGGCGGCGCGGGGACCCCCCGCCGGGAACGGGGACCCTGCCCCTCTGGGGACCCCCCAATGCACCGCCGGAGGGCGGGGGACCCCCYTTACGGGCCCAGCAGGGCAGGGATCCCCCTTTGCCACCATGGGGACCCCCTAYGCACCCATGGGACCCCACATGGCAGGAGCAGTTGGGGACCCAGCTCCGCTATCCCCCAGGGAAGGCAGGGGACCCCCGGGGGGGTTAGGACCAGTCTCCCCACCCCCCTCTCCAAACAGGGGCAGAGCCCAGCCCCCCAGCGCACCCCGACTACCCCGGGCAGGGGAGGAGGGATCCTGGGGGGCACAGAGCAGCGGGGCCTGGTGCCCACAGGGGGGCCGGTCACCCCCTGCCCACCCCCCCAGCCATGTGGGAGAACAGGAGCCCCACACCCAGCACACGGGGAGACGAGCCCCACAGCTGCCCCGGCCCCACGGCCGTGCCGGCCCCACGGCCACCCCGGCCCCACAGCTGCCCCGGCCCCACGGCCGCCCCAGCCCCACAGCCGTGCCGGCCCCGCGGCCGCCCTGACCCCGCGGCCGCCCACACTCACATCGTAGAAGGCGGCGCCGTGACCCCGCTCCGACAGCTGGTAGAGCAGGGGGTTGAGGAAGCCGAGCGGCGGGAGGCCGCGCTGCAGGCGCCGCTCGTTGATGAGTGCCACCATGCCGGCCACCACCGGCGTGGACGCCTGCGGCGAGTGCGAGCTGTGAGCGCCGGGCGGTGGAGCCGGCGCGCGGCCCCGCGGCGCCTCCTCACCGAGGTCCCCGACACCCAGGGCAGCGGGATGCGGTTCGTCACCACCCAGTAGTTGTCGGACAGCGCGGCCAGGTCGGGGTAGGCACGACCGCTGCTGTTGTAGTAGGAGCTGGGAGGGAGCTTGGAGGCTGAGTGCAGGAACCGTCCCACGGCGGCGGCCTGCAGGAACAGCGTGGTGAGGGTGCTGCTCTTATTGTGGTGAGGGTGCTGCTCTTATTGTGGTGAGGGTCCTGCTCTTACTCGTCCTGCTCAGCCCTGAGCCCAGGCCCGGAGCACATCCCAGCAGCAGCTCCTGCCCAGGGCCGCACAACGCCGTGACCCCAGCAGAAGCCCCTGGGAGGAGCAGGGCAGGGGCTGCCTCACCTGGTATTCGGGCATGGGGAACACGTTGCTGAAGCCCCCTCCGCTGATGTAGTCTGTCACCTCTGCCGTCACCAGGAAGGGGTTCTTGAAGGACGTGCCCCCCACAGTGGTCACATAGGGGCTGTGGGGACAGGAGCGGTGCATGGYGGCCTCCGCCTGGGCTGCGCGGGCCCTGAGCCCTCTCCCCTGCTCCCACCCCCACGGAGGGGCAGGCCGCGCCRGCTCCGCGGCCCCGGAGCCCCCGGGAGCTGCGCCAGCCACGTCCACACAGAGGGCCYGGGTCAAGCCGCGGCCGTTACCTGGAGGCTGGAAAGCTGGGCCGGAAAGTGTGGTTGCCGCCGGACACCCTCCTGCAGCCCGCACCATCATCGCCTGCCGGCAGACACCGTTATCGGGCAGCCGTGAGCTGCCTCTCGCCCACAGCTCCCTGCAGCGAGCGGGGACGAAGCTGCCTCCCTCGAGCCGCAGCCCCCTCAAGGGGCGCGCGGCCACAGCAGCCGCAGGAGGCTTCCCAGGGGCTCCCGGCCCTCGGAGGCACCTGCGCGGCACCGAGGCCGCACCTGAGGCGAAGAGCACGGTGAGGCCGCGGGCCGCCGCCTTCATGAACTCCACGTTGACGCGCTGCAGGTAGGCGCGCGACAGGCTGTCCTCGTCGTCGCCGTAGCTCACCGAGTGCACGCTGGGCAGCGCGGACATGTTGCTGAGCAGCAGCAGCCAGGCCAGGAAGGGCTCCTGGCTCTCGTGCCTCCCTGCAGGGAGAGAAGGGGCAGGTCGAGCTTCTCCCGTGGCGGGGCCCTGCGTGCCCCAGCAGCAGCCTGCAGGGCTGCCGGCCCCTCCTGCAGCAGCTTGCGCCACAGCCCAGCTCCGCGCAGCATCTCCGCAGGCTCCCGCGGCAGCACGGCTGGCATCGGGCATCGCCCCGCACCAGCGGCAGCGCTCAGCTCCGAGCTCCTCCACACACCACACATGGAGATACTGGAGCAAATCCAGCACAGGGCTGCAGGGATGGCTGAGGTGGCTGAGGGAGTTGGGGCTATTTAGTCTGGAAGAGGCTCAGGGGAGACCGTACCACTCTCTACAACTACCTGCGAGGAGGCTATAGGGGGTTGATCTCCAAATAACTASCACTAAGAGGAAAAAGCCTCAAGTTGCACCAGGGGAGAGGAGATATTAGGAAGAAAATGTACACATAAAGGGTAGTCAAGCCCTGGGACAGGCTGCAGTGGAGTCATTGCCCCTGGCAGTGCTCAAGAAACACGTGGATGAGGCACTTAGGGACATGGTTTAACAGGTGTGGTGGTGATGGGTTTATGGTTGGACTCAATGATCTTGAAGGTCTTTTCCAATCATAATGATTCTATGATTCCAAGCTGCATAAATCCCTGGTGGGGGTGCAAAAAAGATGGAGCCACATTTTCCAGTGGTGTCCAATGGACACAAACTGAAACACAGGAAGCTCCATCTAAACACTGGGTGAAAAAACCATCTTTTACTGCCAAAAGGTGAGTGAACTAAGCACTGGGGCAGGGCGTCCAGAGAGGTGGCAGAACCTTCATCCTTGGAGGTGTCCAAAGGCTGCCTGGACATGGTACTGGGCACCTGCTCTGGTAACTCTGCTTGAGCAGGGGTTACCCTAGATACGACACAAGAGTCCAGAGGTGCCTCTGAGGCGCAACCTGTGTGCAATCCTGTGCCATAGGGGATAGTGCTGGGCTCCAGCTCTGCCAGGGCACCGAGGGAAGGGGTCACCCCCAACCCTGAGCACGTTTTTGCTTTCATTCTCCACCTTCCTGAGCAGCTGCTGCAGGGCTGTAACCACCCTTGCGGCCAGGCCGTGGAGGAAACCCCCCCGTTCCTGCGCGCACCACGAGCAGAGCTCTCCAGAGCCTGCCGAGGGTCACCTGCCCTSTCCCTTCCCTGTGTGGAGGGGAAGTGAGCGTGATCCTGCAAACGGCAGCTCTGCTGGTTTCACAGCTGGTTTCACAGCTGCTSCTCACCCGCATGCTGCCCATTCCCRTGGCCTGGATGTGTCCACAACRCATCTCCGTGCTGCCTGGGTCCTGCTTGGCCCATCTCATCCCCACAACCTGCTGGGCCATCTCCCACCATCTCTGCCTCTCCTCCACATGTTCTCTGCCCCACTCCACAGGCAGGAGGGGGAAGCTGTGTGTGCCTTGCTGGCCTTCCAAAAGGTGAAGGTGGAGCTGGCGGTCCCAAATGTGCTCTGCCTCCTGGCCAGTCCATCTCTGACCTGGGACATCTCACCCTTTGTGCTGCAGCACTGCAGCCGTTACTGTGCAGCTTGCTCAGATTGCCTCACTCTCCTTTATCTAACCTGGCAGGCTTACAGGCAAGACAGCAGCTTCACCTCCACAGAAAGGGGAGGGAAGAAAAACAAGAAAAGGAGACACTTGTCTCTCTCCACGAGAAGGAAGCAGACTGGGACAGCTGCTTTATACTGTGCAGTCAAGCCGTGGAATTTCTTGTTCCAAGAGTCCACGGGTGCTGAAACTTTACACAGGTCCGAAAAGCAGCTCTACCAATCGGTGGAAGATGAATCCTCTAGCAGCTCTTACTAGAACGACACCAGCTCCTGCTCTGTAGGCCTATCGGGTACATGYTGGGAACACCGGGGACACACCATTCACAAACACCTCCAGCCATGCACCTTTGCCTCTTCTCAGAGACAGATACCAGACTCAATACCTCTAGTTCTGTGCCCCGGACAGAGCGCAAGCATCTCCCCAAGCAGCAACAGATATACTAGTGCTACAACAGCAGGGAAGAGGAGCGTGAAAGAGGCCAGAGGGCAAAGCAGAGCAGCTGCAGAGTGGGGATTGGTACCTGAGTTGCTGAAGACCCATGTGGAAATGTTGGCTCCTGTGCTCATGATGTATTCCACATCCAGACTTGCCTCCAGCCCAGCCTTGCCCCAGCCCTGGTGCCCAACCACATGGTCAACCTGAGAGCGGTGGCCAAAGCTGCTGCCAAAGAGCTGCATAAACTCAGCCACATCCGCCTGGTGGAAATACTGCTCCAGGAACTGGGGGGACAAGGAGCCAACAGTGAGGATTTGTCCTGATGACTTGGAGAGCTGGCCCGCCGCAGGTCTGGGAAACGTCTCATAGTCCTGTGCTCCCACCAGCTGCTGAGGACTCCCGGGGCCAAGAGAGCGCTCGCATGCTAAAGAAACACCACGTGCCAAATGCCCATGGCGTGTGAGCCTTGGGCTGCAAGCAGTTACCTGTGCACAGGCCTGGCTGTTGTTTGCCAGTACCCCGACGTCTCCTCCTGTCATGTTGTATCTTTTACGGATGATGGAGGGTGTGACACCCAGGTGGAAAGCTGCTTTTCCTCCATGGCGCTGCCCTGGCTCCGCGTCCTTCTTGGCCCAGGCTCTGCTGACCACCTTCCTCTCCGCAGGGAACCGGTGCAGACCCCCGACTGGTGCGGAAGCAAAGAGGACACAGACCAGGTATCAGCGCCCAAAGCTTTGGCCAGGCCCTGTTGGAGCCCGGCTGCTTCCTCCTCACTGTGCCCACTCAGCCCCCACACGGCACAGGGCTGGGCACGAGCTGCTCCCTTTGGGCTCCTACCCAATCCTCATGGGTGTCACCTGGCGACACACCTCCATCTCCTCACTGCCAGGCCACTACTCCAAAAACACTTAGGACACTGGCTAAACTGCGCTGTCCTCTGGGCCTCCACGGCAGCCCAAACGCAGCTGGCAGCGCTCAACCTCCCCCTGCGCCAGCGCTCCCTGTCCCGGAGAGCCCGTGTGCCCCGTGGAGCTCTTACCGAAGTCGATGTGCTCGGCCAGCTCCTCAGGGACACTGTAKGGAAGCGGGGAGCGCACAACGCTGCGCCCACCTTTCACGTAGCGGTGGAACTCGGCCCCTGGCAGGAGGCGCTCGGCCGTGCTGCAAGACAGGGACCGCGATACGTGGGGTCACGGGGCGCCCGTGGGCACAGAGCCCGTCCGAGCCTGGCAACGGGGCAGCAACACGTCTGCGCTCTGCACGGCCCCCACACCCTTCCACCCGCTTGCTGCCGAGGGGAGTCCGGGCTGAGTTCTGCTTCCCATCAGCACAGGGCTCGTGAAGCAGAGGACATCTTCACTGCCCGACCGATCCCAGTTGAGGCTTGACATCAAAAYGCAAACCATGGCTTCCAAGCTGCAGGGTCACGCACAACCCGCACCCCACGGGCACTGAGTGAAGGAGGAGGTACRCGGCTACGCCGAGCACCCAACAAGCAGGAACAGCCTGAGTTCAGCTCTCAAGTGCTGGCCGGTGGGTCCCCACTCACTGGCCAGGGACCCGTGACGCCAGCTCTCCACTGCAGTGGCAACCAGGCCAAGCCGCCCACGCGCCGGCCGGCGGGGCAGAGTCCCACGGACAGGACGGCCCCGTCAGGACGCAGCCCCTGCGGCGGCAGCAGGCCCGGCGCTGCCCGGCGCTCACCTGGCAGGCATGCGGCACTCCAGGAAGTCCAGGGTGCTCACGCTGCGGCAGCTGCCCACGCCGTGGCCCTTCAGCCACCGGAGCACGGTCATGAGCGCGGCCGGGGAGGGCTGCACCAGCTCCCGCACCTGCTCCAGGGACAGGTAGCGGCCTGCGG